AAGTCACTTAACCCCATTGCCTAGCAAAATTAAAAAAAGGGGGGGGGCAGCTAGGTGGTGCAGTGGATAGAGGACTGACCTTGGATTCAGGAGGACCTGAGTTCAAATTCGACTTCAGACACATAACACTTACTAGTTGTGTGACCCTGGGCAAGTCACTTAACCCCATTGCCTAACCCCAGAAAAGAAAAAACCAACAAAAAAAATGTGTAAAACTTTTCTTTTGGATTGATTTTTCAAGATTGCAGCACATTCTTTTGAGCATCCTAAATGGAGGCAAACTGTAATCCTTTCAGGGTAGATTTCATTTTTGGAAATAGCTAAAAGTAATTTTCATTGAAGTTTAATAAATGTTTATTAAGTTGGAGAATGAATGGTTTTTTGATCGTTCATTCTCCATGACAGTTATACACACACACACACACACACACACACACAAAATCATAAAAATACCCACTGGCTCTAAAGAAATGACTCATTTTTATGTGTTGTAAAGTTGCTACGAAGGAAATTCTAATTCAGTTCAACATAGGTTCTTTGATCACCTTCCCTTTGGAAGACATTGCTTGAGAGATATAGGGGGGAAAAATCAACCTAGCCCTGAGCTCAAAGAGAGCTCTTTTTTCTAAGGGATACAATGTGTACATAAATAAGTAAATGCAAACTACATAAAAGGTACAATTTCAGGAGGTTAGAGGGCACTAACAAGTGTGGGAGACATGGGAGGAGGGGGTGGTCAGGAAAGTTGGCACCTTAACTGAGCCTTGAAGAAAGCCAGGAATTCTACAAGGTAGAAGTGAGGAGAAAAGATGGGTACTGCAGGAATTGGGAACCTTGTACAAAAGCACAGAGGCAGGAGATGGCATATAGAAAACAAGGAACAGCATTCTGGCTTGATTAGGATAGAGAACAAGTGACATAGGATAAAGATTAAAGAGGCATAATGTGAAATACAGTTGGAAAAATAGTGGAAGTGAGATTGAAATTTCAGGCTGAAAATTTTGTATTGCATCCCAGAGACAGTAGCCATTTAAAAATTTGAGTTGATGAAAGAAATGATGAAATTTGCAGTTTAGGAAGATAAATTTGGCAACTCTGGGGAGGATGGATCAGAGATTGAAGAAACTGGAAGTGAAAAACCAAACTAGAGGCTGTTTCAGAAGTTTTGTTAACAGGTGATGATGCCTTGAATTAGGGTGGTGTATGTGTGAGTGAAGAGACAGGAAGTTGAAGATATGCTGGAAGCAGCAGGATGTTGGAGTAAGGGGTACTTTAAAAAATACCCTCTCAAAAACAAAGACAAAACACAAAACCAAGTTTCATTATTTTAGATGTTCTTATGCTGTAATGTCAAAACAAGTGTCAGTGCAGTAGAGATGAAAGGGAAGTCAGTGTGAAGTCCACTTCATTTCCCAATTTATCCCTTATCCAAAAAGTCATCTCTTATAACAAAGAATTAAAAAAAAGAAAAGAAGTACAACAAAACTAACCAGAACAGTAATGTCCTACATTTTATGTATTGTTGCACTCTTACCTCTTACCACTGCAAAGAAGGGAGGTCAGGTACATTTTCAAATCTCTTATTTAGGACTAAGCTCTTGATCATTATAATTTCACAACATTCAGTTCTCTGGGGATTTTTGAGATGAGTGACGTTGAAGTCATATCATTTTCATACCTCATTGCACTGGAAATAGCCTAGAATAGTGAGTCACAGCCTTGGGTTCAAATCCTGGCTCTGTCATTTAATACTTGTGTGAATTTGGGCAAGTTATTTAGCCATTCTGGGCCTCATTTTCTTCATCTTTAAAAGGAGGGGTTGAACTAGATGTCCACTTAAGTTCCTTTTTATCTTTGTGATCTATGAGTTTACTAGTGGAAACAAATCTTTTAGGAATGTTAATCTGATAATGGTGTGTGTGAGATGATTTAAGAGTTTAAGAGATTGGGGGCAGCTAGGTGGTACAGTGGGTAGAGCTCTAGCCTTGGAGTCAGGAGGACATGAGTTCAAATTTGGCCTCAGACACTTGATACTTATGAGCATTGTGACTCTGGGCAAGTCACTTAGTCTTTAACCCCGATTGCCTCACCAAAAAGCAAAAAAAAAAAAAAATTTAAGAGACTGAAGGCAGCATAAAGAGTTGGGAGGCTGCTGCAGTATTCCAGGCAGGAAGGGATAGATTGGATTACATTTTAGTACCAAGTGGAAATGGAGAGGAAGAGACAAATTAAGACATTTTGGAAACAATGGACTTGGTGAGTGATTAGATATCAGGAATGACAAAGACAGCCAGCCCTGAGGTTTGAGTGAACCTTATTGAGTGGAGGCTAGTGATGCTATTCAATCCACCGATATTACCAGGTACTAAGGATTTGAAGGCAAGAAAGGAAACAGCCCCTGCCTTCATGTACATATATAAATATTTACACAATGTATACAAAATAAATGCATAAATATAAGTGGTTTTTTTGGAAGGAGGGGAAAGCACTAGCATCTGGGGATAAAGAAAAGCCTTAATATATGATGACCCTTGAGCTAAGGAAACTAGGATCTTAAAAAGGAGAAGGAAGTGAGGTGGTAACACATTCCTGATGGGGGAGAATGGCCTATACAAAGGCAGGGAGTTGAGAGAGGGAGTGTTTTGTGTGAGGAACAGCAAGGAGGCCATTTTGGCAGGACTGTAGAGCATGTGAAGAGAAATTATGTGCAGTAAGTTTGGAAAGGTTAGGTTGGAGCCAGGTTGTGAAGTAGAAAAGGTCGGAATGGAAGCTAGTACTGTTTTTGCCTTTCATTGTGTTCCCAGCTTAGCACTGTGCCTGGTAGATAGTAAGCACTTAATAAATGCTTATTGACTGACTGTTTCAGAGATGCTTCCTTGGAGAGATCAGGCCCTGACTCTATCTGAGGAGGTACTCACACATGTCCCCAAATTTATCTTACTTCTACAAATTCAGTGTTCTGAATGTCTCTTTCTGGGTTATTGCAGCTCCTCCTCCCCCACCACCCTTAATTCGAAATGGTGCCCGGGATGCTCCACCTCCACCTCCACCATACCGAATTCATGGCTGTACAGAACCCCTGAGCAGAGGAAAACCCCCACCTCCACCTTCAAGGACACCAGCTGGGCCACCTCCACCACCTCCACCACCCCTGAGAAATGGCCACAGAGATTCCATTGCAACAGTTCGATCTTTCTTGGGTATGTAATCGGCTCTTGAGAAGGCCTCATTCGCAATCATGACAGATACCCAGCTTGCAGTTCAGATGGGGTTCTTTGAGTACCTTTTGGCGTCTTAGTAGTGTATCATAATCTCTGTCTCCATTTTTCCCCACCTGCTTTTGAGGAGTTTAATATAGTGAATTTTTTTTTTAATTTTCATAGTATGATAGTTGGTTCTTTCTCTTCATATCTTCTCCAGCAAGACAGTCTGTACATCCTTGGATTACTGGTTAGAGGTTGAAACTATACATCCTTCTCTTTCCTGCTCTTTGCCTACTTGTCCTTTTCTGAGATTTATTTCTTGGTGGACCATTATGTCTTCCTTTGCTTTGGAGATGTTTCTTTGATCAGGACCTAAACAGGTGTCCTAATTTCTTTTAGACTACTTTGTGTAGGCTTCTGGGGAATGCCTAAGCCATGCCCTATTGAAAGTTTGAATAATTTTCAGGGAAACCTCAGGAAGTGTTATGGGCAGAGTCAGGTGATAGTGCTGCCACAACTCCATTGATAATAAGATTCCTGGTCAGGAAAGGACATTTTAGGCTTAATCAGTTACTGGCTGGAGACAAAATTCCTTTTTTTTTTGTTAATTTAAGTCAATTTATGGATCCAGTTCACTTGTCCTCTAACTGGACCCTAGAGAACCCAGGATAATCTTGTCCTTGGAAAACAGAGTAGTATTTCTCCCTCCTACAGAATAGCACTGAAAACCAAACTGGGCCACTTTAATAGTCTTTTTTGAGTTCTCTTGAGAAAATCTAAAGTCACTTATTTTTCCTCTGGCAGATGATTTTGAGTCCAAGTATTCCTTCCATCCAGTAGAAGACTTCCCTGCTCCAGAAGAATATAAACACTTTCAGAGAATTTACCCCAGCAAAACAAACAGAGGTGAGGAAAGTATTTTTATAATTTGCACAGAGTATAGAAGTTTAGTTAAATGGACATTATTTCTTACCTCTCATTTCAGGACTGATTATAAGATATCTAGCATATAATAAATAACTTCAGATTTACTGATTGACATTTGCTTCTTTTTTTTTTCCAGCCACCCGTGGGGCCCCACCCCTGCCGCCTGTCCTAAGGTGAAGCCCAAGTGGGTCCTATTCCTCAGCAAAAGGATGGACCTCCTCCAGTTCTCAAATGGTTCCTACTGCTTCCCCAAAACCTGCATGAGAACTTCCATTGTGTTCTTCCAGTGCATCCAGCTGCTCAGAATTCAGCATCTCTCCCAGCTCATCTTCATGTATGCATCTCCTCACTGGACTTGATTGGACTCTCTTATTTTGGCAGTGGGTTCCCTGTTCCTCCACTTCCCTTCATCTAGTGAACCCTGCTAGCTGTGTGAGGAAATAGTTTCTGTCTCCTGTTCTCTCTTTGGAGAGAGGTGCCTTGTGATGAATTCACTAATCAGAGCAGGGTGAAGACAGTATCCTTCTTGTTTCCACATCAAATTCTTCTCCCTTCCCCCACCCGCGGGAAGCCAAATGGGTATATGTGAACTTCAAGCCATTAGGGAGCTTGGCATAGCCATTACCACCTCTGTTCTTTGTGGGGAGAGTGCCATCTTCAGTAAAATAGGAAAGAAGTATATGGAGATGTTGTCTGCTTCATAGGTCACACAGTTGCAGAGCAGGAGAGGAAGAGGTCTGCTTTCTTCTTGGGGTATCTTTTTTTTTTTTTTACACAGGGTTAAAGTTCTGGACTACATTTGGGTTTACTAATCAGTTAAGCTTAAAGCAGATACTAAAACGGGACAGTGGGCTCAAGCTAAGGGCTTCTTAGCTCTAGTCAATTCCTCTATAACAGAGGGACCAAAAGAGGATTTAGTCCTCAGGAGCCCCCTGCCTCATTTACCCAGGATCCTGGGTGGCCAAGTAGGCTCAATTGAAGAACCTTTCTAATCTTTTGGATCACATGCTAAGGAACCAGTGCAGGTCCACAGTGGTCCCAATGGGAAAAGATGGAGCTGAATTGCGTATGTGTATATGACCAGAACCTCCTTGTTATAACCTAGACCAAACCCAGTGCTGGTTTACCTTCATTATTTTTCCATGTACTGTTGGTTTGATTAGGTCAATTGTAGGGAAATGTTTTTTAACTATTCTTATTTTAAAACCTGGTAGCAGTTATCCCCCAGAGACGCCCTCAGCACATGGGATTGAGAGGAGATGGAAAGGCTTCCCCGGCAAGGAGCCCTAGACTGGGGGAAGGAAGTAGGAAAGCTTGGTATTTAATCATACTGATCATTTATTTAGTCCTGACTGTGAAGTCTTCAGATCATTGTCGAAATGGAAATTGGCAACTTTTACACAATGTTCTGTGATGGTGTTTTTCTTTAAAATATTCAAATATAGAAAACAGAAAGAGAAATACTTGTTATCACAAAAGCCAAACCCTGCCTTTTCTTCTGGGGTTGGCACCTTTCTTCCTATTACTTGTTCCTTTGGATTTTAGACTGTGTCACATTGGCATCCATTATACTTTCACTGGCTTGCCTCCTGAAAATGGTTGGCTAAGCTCAAGTCAATTGGATTTTTCTTCTTCAGAGTGTGTTGATAATCCATTATGTATTTGGATGTCTGCCTTATACACTACTCTGTCTCACTGGTGGTACTGGATTTATTATCATGACACAACTAGAACAGTAATTCATTCAGCAAATTTATTAAGAGCCTACTCTTGAGTAATGGGAATGTGACTCATAGTTACTGATCTATTTTGTATGTTAAAAAAAAAACACAAAAACTTGTAATATAGGTTTAAGGTGGGCTGGCTGCAAGGGCACTAAACTTCTCACCTTTGAACTCCTCTTTTCTCTGCTTGTGGGAATGTTGTTACCTCCTTAGTTGAAGATTGGGTGGGTCTCATGTTGAGGCTACTCCCAGTCAACAAACCCTTATGTCCCCTCTCTGAAGGAAGAGATGTTGCCCAGCTCTGCTCATCAGAAAGCTGAGTTAAAAGCCCCCTGGTTGGGTTTGTTTTTTTTTTTCCCTAATGGGAAAAACTTAATATTTGTTTCCTATTGCCCTGGCTGCAAAGCAGATGGGTAGCCTCAAGTCTAAATGAGAGCAGTACCCCTCTACTTCTGCTAATCTACCCAGATCAAAGCACTTTGACATTGTGTGTGGTTCTGTGTATTAGGGGGTTGGAATGCTGCTCAAGCTTCAAACCTTTGCTTTTCCTGAAACCAGGGCTCTTAGGCTATTGGAGTGGCTGTAGAGTTCCTAGGAACACATCCCAGCCGTCTTTATTTGGCGAAGGGCAGGGAGGACCTGTCTTTGGCCTCCTGACTTGAAGCCCAAATGAACCTCTAGGGAGAGGTAAGAAGAAAATGTGTAAATAGACTTAAGCATTGCTACAGAGTAACTCAGGGCTGGGGTATATTTTAAATTATCCTGATCACTTGAAATAACTCATAGACTAAGTGAATTTTGGAATGGGGGAGGAAATGTGTCCCCATAGTTCTCTTACCCTGAGGGGGCTAAGGGGAGGTAAATAGGGGTTGTCTAAGGATCTGTTTTTATTTTTAATGGCACTACACTGAGTTGTCTGTCCTGAAAACCCAACCTGGGATCAATGGCAAACCAAATTCCTTACATTCCAGTCTTGGTCTTCCCCTGGCTCTAAGGTCAGGGTGGCTCCCTGCCAATCATTCCTTAGAATTGGGAATGTGAGAGAATTGGCCCACTGCAACATTGCCTTTGAAATTCATCTGCTTTAAAACAACAAAAGCAAGAATGTGCAAAAACAAAAAAAAAATGGAAAACTGTTGAATAGAAGGAAGTTTTTGGATCCATTCAACTCCACATTCATTGTGCCTTTACCCTATGTCAGGCATCTGTGCTCTGTATTCCTCTTGGACTGAAGCAATTTAAATCTCTCTTGTCTCCTGCTGTTTCTTTCTTCCTCTGTACATCTTTGTAGACCTGGTGGGCTGCTTCTCTAATCCTTGTGAGTCTCATTCCACCAGTGGCAGAGGACCAGCTTCTCTTTCTCCCTACCTCTTTTTCTCCCCTAGAGTGACAAGCATGGATGTCACAGTAATCAACACTGTATAAATACACCCAGAATGATGAGAGATAGTGTGTGTACATGTGTGCTCGAGAGTGTGAGAGTGTGTGTGTGTGTGTGTGTAGTGTCTGCATGTAGATGGATTTTTAAAAATAATTTATTGTATGAATATATGGATGTTATGTTTTGATCCATGATTCTCCTTCCCTAGTTGTGTTGATTTTTTTCTCCCTTCCTCCCCTCCCCCCAAGATGTACAGTCTGGTCTCAGGTTGGATTCTTTGGTACACTTACTTCTCCCTTCTGGGTGCCATGCAGCTATTTAATTAAACCTCATTTTACAAACCAAATCAAACCGAAAATCTGTGTGCTATATCTGGAGTCCCACCCCAGGGCAATGGAATGGGGGTGGGGAGGGCAGGGAGGAAGACCTTACCACCTCTTGAATTTCCTGTTTTGCCCATAGGCTGGACACAGGCACCTGCAACTCTCCAGGGGTCTTCTCATTCTTCCTTAAGGAAATATGCTAATGTGAAAAGAACACCAGTCTTAAATCAGAAGACCTGGACTTGAGTCTCAGCTCTGCCACCTCCAGGGGTGGGGAACCTGAGACCTCATGGCCACATGTGGCCTTCTAGGTCCTCGGTGCAGCCTTTTGACTGAGTCCAAGTTTTACAGAACAAATCCTTTTATTTTTTTCCACTTTTTAAAAATTATTTTTAGTTTTTAACATTCACTTCTTTAAGATTTGGAGTTCTAAATTTTTCCCCTTCCTCTCTTCTCCCCTCCCCAAGACAGCATGCAATCTAATATAGGCTATACATCTACAATCACATTAAACAAATATATTTCCACATTAGTCATGTTGTGAAAGAAGAATCAGAACAAAAGGGAAAAACCACGAGAAAGTAAAAACAAAGAGAAAATAGTATGCTTCGATCTGCATGCAGACTCCATAATTCTTTCTCTGGATGTGGATAGCATTTTCCATCATGGGTCTTTTAGAATTGTCTTAGATCCTTGCACTGCTGAGAAGAAAGAGCTAAGTCTATCAAAGTTAGTCATCACACAATGTTGCTGTTACTGTGTACAATGTTCTCCTGGTTCTCACTTCATTCTCACATCTCACATCACATCTAGGTCTTTCCAGGTTTTTCTGAAATCCACCTGCTCATCATTTCCTATGGAACAATAGTATTTCATTACATTCATATACCACAACTTGTTCAGCCATTCCCCAACTGATGGGCATCCCGTCAACTTCCAGTTCTTTGCCACCACAAAAAGAGCTGCTATAAATATTTTTGTTCATGTAGGTCCTTTTCCCTTTTTTATGATTTCTTTGGGATACAGACCTAGTAGTGGTATTGCTGGATGAAAGGGTATGCAGAGTTTTATAGACCTTTGGGCACACTTCCAAATTGCTCTCTAGAATGGTTCACAATTTCACCAACAATGCATTAGTGTTCCAGTTTTCCCACATCATCTCCAGCATTGATCATTTTCCTGTTTTGTCATGTTAGCCAATCTGATAGGTGTGATGTGTTATTTTGATTTGCATTTCTCTAATCAATAGTGATTTAAAGCATTTTTCATATGATTATAGATAACTTTAATTTCTTTATCTGAAAACTGCCTGTTCATATCCTTTGACCATTTATCAACTGGGGAGTGACTTGTATTCTTACAAATTTGATTCAGTTCTCTATATATTTTAGAAATGGGTCCTTTATCAGAGACACTGACTGTAAAAACTGTTTCCCAGCTTTCTGCTTCCCTTTTAATATTGGTTGCATTGGCTTTATGGAAAACCTTTTTAATTTAATGTAATCAAAATTATCCATTTTTCGTAACAAATCCTTTTATTAAGGGGATTTGTTATGTGAAGTTTGGATTTAGTCAAAGGGCTGCACTTGAGCACCTAGAGGGCCACATGTGGCCTCAAGGCTGAAGGATCCCCACTTCTGACTAGCCCTTAGGCCTACAGACCAAATCATTTTAACCTCCTGGGTGAAATGGGATATGATGATGTACGTTACCTAACTCACAAGATTGTGAGAATCAAAAGAGGTCATGTATGTGAAAGTGTGTTGTAATAGTAAAGCTCAAATACTGATGTGAAATATATATTATTATTCATTTCCTTCCTCTTTTTGGCTAAATCATATTCTAAAGTTGTACACTGTGGTAGTGAGTGTAGCCTTGATATTTGATGCCTTTGCTAATTTGTGCCTGCACCTGATTTTGCCTTTTTCAGATTTCAGGGACTTTTTAGTTCTTTTAGATTTGTCCCCTAAGATACAGGTATGAGCTCTTAATACCGTTCTTGGTTCTCCAGGATGTGTTTGGTGGTAGAATACTTAGGGAATGAAAGAAAGTGAGGGAAAAGCAGGTAATCTTTTTGAATGTGCATGAGTATGTGGGTGTTGGTTGTTCTCAGGTAGCTTTTAGTTCAAAGATAGGATTACTCACCTGAACTTTGACTTAGGTGTGAAAATTAAGACCTCTGTCCAAAGTATGTTTTCTAAACAAAAGCTGAGGTTTGAAGGATGAATTTCAGTCATTCGCTGTGTGGTATGTATGTGAATCACTTACACATAAAAATCTATTAAGTTAATGAGGGGAGGGAGAGGAGTTGAGAAGAAGGGGGCAGAATCTCTGCTTCCTTAAACCTGTCATTCACATGAATAAGTAACTTGTAGCATATTTCCTGGCTCTGGTGCTCCCTAGTCGACTTCATACAGTCCACCAAAAAATGCTTGCTGAAATAATCCTTAACTTGGTAACCTTAGGAGTTCCTTTGTCCAGAGGAAATGGTGTCTCCCCTCTGGTGTGTACAAAAGAATGCTGACAAGTCCTTCTTGTATGATTTTATTCTTCCATGACACCATGCAATAGGCATTAGGAGATGGGCCACAGGTCTGCTTACTGTAATTATGAGTGAGGCACAGCTGCTTGGAGCCAAAGGTGGCTTTTTTTTTTTTCCATCCAGCTATGGGATGCCTTTCCTGAACAAACTTCTTTTCTCTGGTAGCCTGGCTTTGGGGAAGGAGTTGGTTTCTCAGTAACATTCAGGCAGAAATTTGGAGAACTGAACACCCTATTTCATGTCAGGCTCCCTCAAAGGAAAGTTGTGGAGGAAAACCTTTTCTTTAGTAGATCATTGGATCAATTTGGATGATCTCACATCTGTGCCTGCCCTAGGTTTGAGGGCCATAGGTAGGAGCATTGGGATGTTTTAAGAATCAGGCATATTTCTGTGGTGATACTTCGGACATCTGCAGAGGCTTTCATTTACAGTTGATTGGCTCCTAGTTGAGGCATATCCACATGCCCAACAACTCATCTGGAAAGCTGGCTTATCACCCTCACCGTATCATGTTACTCAGCAAGAGTTTTCAGGAGGTCAAAGTGGTGTTGCCCTTCAGAAAATTGTAAATAGTGCATCCCCACCTACTTCCTAAAACTAAATGCAGACCTCTCCTTGGGAGGGCATGCAAGTAAACCCTTAGTTCTCCACTTCCTCTTTAGAGGGGCAGCTTATTAAGATCTGTATTTTATTCTCTTTATCCTCCCAGTACTAAACACCGTCAGTTGAAGGTTTCAATCTGGACTCCTTGTGACAGTTTTCAACACTCTCATTAGAGATCAAAGGTTGAAAGATCAAGCTGAAAAAATAAGCATCGGTTGATCATTAACATCAGCTGCCCATGGGTTTTGGTCTTATTGGAACCCAAGGGTCTGTGTGGGATGCTCTTTGACGTTCTGGAGTTGGCCTGTGGATCTCGGCCATACTCATTTGTACCCATTACAGCTTAATACTTATGGAAGAAAAGATTAATTAATTAATAGTTGCCAAACCACCCTGATTGATGTTTGGCATGGATTGATGTTTAAGTCTCCTGGTTTTTGTTAGTAAGGGGAAGGTACTTGACCTATCTCCTATCTCAGAGGCTCGGGGGGGATCCTGGGGCCATTTCTGAAAACCCAACCATATCCCTATATTCCTTCCCTTAGGCCGAGAGTAGACCTTTTAAGATTACCTGTGGTTTCCAGGAGGAGGAAGTTGCGGTTTTGCAGTAGAAAAGATAAACTGAAATCTTAAGTATGCATTCTCTCATGTGTCGTACATGCTGTGAGAAAAAGTAGCTGATGCCCACATTTTTGGGGTACTATTTCCTTAAAGGAAAAATCCTTTAATACCCAGAAACTGAATCGTGAGTTGGCTTTAGCAGGTGAAGACGGATTGTGTGTTCATCGTAGATTACAATTCCCAGAGACCTTTGCGGCCCCTTCCCTGTTGCCGTATCCTGCCGTCTCCGCTACGTCCTTGACTTTACGCTTAGAAACCGGATGTTGATGTGGTTCCCGCCCAGGGGATGCAACCTCGCGGCGCGCCGGAGACTTGGGGCTTTTCTATTGGTTCAACGGAGGTAGGCGTGGAGCAGGGGAAGTGAGCCTCGGAGCGAGGCAGCCTTCCCCCCCGCCTTCAGGACGCCAACCAATCAGCGGAGCGGTCCGGCTCTGGCGGGAAACGGGAAGCTCTCAGCTGAGAGGAATTGGCGCGAGCTACGGAAAGAGCTTCGGAACTGTGTGGCGGGAGTAGCTGAGTAGAGCTGAGTTCAGTTGAGCTGAGCTGAGCTTACGTGAAGTGAGGTGAGGAAGCTAGCAGGGCGAGGAGCCGGAGCGGGTGGAGGGCGACCGTAGCTCAGATCCCTGTCCAGGCCTGGGGGTGGCGGGGAGGAGGATAGTCCTGGAGGGGAAGGGGCTCGGGCGGAGGCCGAGGGCCGGGCGCACCTAGGAAAGGGTGGAGAGGGGGGGGGGGGGGGGGGGGGGGGGGGGGGGGGGTTGTCTGTGTGTGTGAGGGAGAGAGCCCTTCACTGACTCCTACTATTTGTAAAGCCCTATAGTGCCCTTAAAGCACTATAGAAGTGCTAGTTATTATTATTAGTGCTCAAGTTAGCTTGTGTTTACTTACCAGTTTAAATTATCTCCTAGTACAGCGGTTCTCCACTTTTTTGGCCTTAGGACCCTTTTATACGCAAAAAAATTATTGAAAACCTCTTCCAAATAACTTTTATTTGTATGGTTTATAGCTATGGATATTCACCCTATTAGAAATTAAAAGTCTTAGTGTTTTTACGAAAGTAGCTCTGACCGAGTGACCCTCAGGGCTTCCCTGAGGACTGCACTTTGAGAACCAACCGCCCCAGTAGCAGAGAAGCTCCTTGAGAGCAGAGACTCCTTCTTTCCCCTTTTGTCTTTGCATCCACATTGTCTTACCCCCAGGTACATATTAAATGTTTGTTGAGCTGTTGAATCTGTTTACTTTATAGCTCTGAGTGTATTG